GGGGGGGGGGAGAGAGAGAGAGAGAGAGAGAGAGAGAGAGAGAGAGAGAGAGAGAGAGGTGTGCTTAGAAAAATGAACTGTTGCTGGCTTCAAAGATGGAGGAAGAAAGAGGCCATGAGCCAAGAAATTTGGGTGGGCTGAAAAAGCTGCAAAGAGTGGGGGGAATGGAGTCCCCTAGCACTTCCAGAAATAATTGAAGCCCTTCTTGGTGCTTGATTTCAGCCCAGTGAAGCCCATGTTAGATTTTCATCTAAGGAGCTATTTAAGTTGTGACTTTGGCCCAGTAAATTTTCTGTAATAAAATAACCCAGTACCCTTGAAAGACCCTGCCAGGCTCTACAGACTAGAGAACTGCTGTTCTTCTCAGGGAGGAATCATAGCTCCCACCTTGCACAGTGAGGACAATGAGTAAAACTTGGCCCTCAGTGGTGGGTGGGTGGCTCTGGGAACCCTTCTAAAACTGCAGCACTCCCAGGCTATTGGAGAGAGGTCTGGGTTCTAAAGGTGTGATGGTGGTTTTTACAGATCTATGTCTTTCATGGTATTTGTTTCTTGTCCTCAGGGACTATACAGACAACCAGGCAATTAGCCAGGTGGTAATTAACCCTGTGGGAGTCCGAGTGTAACTGAGAAGCTTGTCCTGCTTCCTAGAAAGAATAAAAGTGGAGCAGCAGATGGATGGATGAGTCTCAACTGTCTGCTCTGTCTCTGCCCACTCCTCTGCCCTGTCTCAGGTTCCTTAAGAAACAGCATTTTCTGAGTGTTCTCCTCTCATGACAACTGGCCTTTCCTGGAAAGCCTTTCAGTTCAGCACCCAGAGAACAGCATGGAAGGGTTTATGTGGAGAGGTGAAAGGCAGGTCTATTCTCAAACTGCGGTAGGTTCAGCTGATGATTTTGTCCCTGGGCTACTTCAAGGTGACAAAGACCACTCTGCTGAAACATCAGGGCTTTGGGGCAGTACTGATGCCTGCTGGAGTCAGGGCAAGCTCAAGGTGAGTCTCTAACCTACGCAGTAAGGTCACAAGGTCATGATAGGGCACATCAGCTCTCACCCATCAGTCCTCATGCCTCAGGGAGACAGCCTCTCCTTCACAGCCAATGAGGAATGTGAATTGAGGGTGTCTGCCAATCCTCCTCCCCTTCTTCTCCAAGGGCCACGTGGACCAGTGGCTTCCAAGTGTTATGCTAATACCAAGCACTGGCATAATTGGGCAACTTTCAGCAGTGCCTCCAATTCTAAAAGGCAGCAGTCTTATTGCAAATGCATATTCATCAGAACTATTCCTGCTAGCTCTGTCTCACAGATCACAGTGTTAAAAGTACAAAAATCCATCAGTGCAGCTGTGTGCCAAGTAAAAGGGGCTAGGATCACCAAGAGAAGGCATCTGACAGGCAAACCTGTGGGCTCAGAAAAGGGCAGAGGAATCTGTCCCTGCACGCGTATGAATGTGTGTGCACCATCAACTCACAGAGAGTGGCTGTGGGTGGGGGAGGGAGATGCACACATGTGCACATGGTGTTTTAGTACTTAGAGTGACCCAAGATAGTCATGAGAAACAAAAGGCTGAAATCTGGATGAAGAAATGTTGGATGAACAGTCAAAGTGTCTCAGTTGGGAGTCCCATTAGACAGTAAAATTATCTCCTGAGGGACCCACTTGGGGATCTCCTTGCTTAAGATGTATGACAGGGAGAGGAGCACTGTGGGACATCAACCTCCCTCCTGATCACCTTCAGAAGACGACCCAAAGAATGCTTTACTTTGTATTTCCCGAGAGTCCTTTCTGTCCTTCCCTTTTCATGATGGGCCTACAGGTTTTCCTCCTACCTGCCCCAAGTGCTTGCTGCCAGCATTCTGATGTGTGCTCTTGCTCTCTCTCTCTCTCTCTGTCTCTGCCTGTCTCTCTCTCTCTCCCTCTCTGTCTCTCTCTGTCTTTGTCTCTCTCCCACATCTCTGTCTCTCCCTCTCTCCCCACCTCCCTTTTCTTCATCTTTTCTCTCTTCTCAAATGAATCAGGCTCTTGTCAGCTACTTCCTGAATGGTAAAAGTTTTGAGAGGCCTTAGGCTGGGAGAGCTCTGTCCTGGGTCCCAGTTAGGTATACTCTTTGATGAAGAGCAGCACCCTGAACAGAACAGGTGCTCTGAGATGAGGAAGAGAAGAGATGGAAAATGTGTCCACTCCTGCTCTGGGGTCCCTCACACATCACAGCTGTCAGATCAGAAAGTGAGATGGGCACTGTATATGCCCTGAGCTGGATCTTGGCCCTACCCCCAACACAACAGAAACGCCGGCCTCTATGAATCATCTCTCCCTGTCCACCCCTCTCCTCAGTTCTTGCTTTGCAAGGCTTCTCTACCTTCCTCCTCTGTCCCATCCGTCTCCTCTTTGGAGAGAGGGATGGAAACAGACAACTGTGCTGATGGGTGTGAACATGGCCAACATAAAGAAGTCAGCAGCTGAAGCTTCATCTGCTCCTGCCTCCATTTACCTTCCTGGTGCAACATGGCCTTCACATTGATGGTGTGGGAGACATCTTTGTCTGCTTGGCCAAATCATCTTATTCATTAATAGAATAGCATCACTTATTTTATTTTATTTTGATTTTTAAAAATTTTTATTTTATTTTTGAGTTGTGGGGTACATGTGAGGATTTGTTACATAAGAAAATTGTGTGCAGGTAAGGTCTGGGCTTCTAGCAAGCTCTCTTCCCCCCTGGTAGTGGGCATACTACCCATTGGATGGTTGAGCATCAGAATTTTAATGTTCATAGAGCTGATAACAAAGTAGAAACCCATCTCTGAAAAAGCAAGAGCTCATTGTCGTGGTCGCAAAGGGAACACATCTTTATTTTTGTTTTTCCACTCTCACTCCTGGCACAGGTAACTTCTTTCATCACTCTAGCTTTAGGTAGGTTTCAGCTAAAATTTCTTATTACATTTGAAGTCAATGTTATATTATTAAGCAATTAATTAGTTCTCAAATAGTAGTTACCCACTCTCTTGCAAGACTAAAAAGAAAATATCATGTACACAATTCATGAAATTTCCCTTGAATAGTTCTAGTACAAACAGTAAGTGCCCCATAAGTACTTCTTGATTACATGGCTGATGGGTGATTAGCTTCCCATCCTTAGCAAGAAAAAACTCCTAATTTTCACTAGATGGTGGTTGTAACTGGGGATCACAGCACATTTTTTTAATCCACATAATCTGCGTTGTGTCTCAACCTCTGCCTTCCCTCCCCTCAGCCGTCAACAGAATGGATGAGCTCCGCAAGCAGACATACCACGCAGCCAGTGGAGTCCAGCTTGCGATCTGAAATGCAGCGGAAATTCTTACTGCAGCCTCCATTATCCTTGCTGCAGTCCCGCACAGGCCCGAAGGAATCCAGGAGAACTTCCAGACTGTCAAAGGAGGACGAAGTCATCAGCTCCTCCCTGTGCAGAGAAACAGAGAAGTCAAGGAGATTCCAGACGCAGCCAGTAGCGTTCCATTCCATGTTCCTGTCTGGTCCACTGGGTCAGTCTCACACTCCCTTATAAAAATGGAACATTGACCATACTCTGAGCCTTGAACTAATGAATTCTAGGCATTTTCCACATCTGGGAAAGGAGCCAAGACTGTAACACCTGACCAAAAAAGGAAGTCTAAACTTGGGCAAGGAATTAACATTTTATTGCCTGTCAGTCCTTAGGGTATGCGGGAAGTGCTTACAAACTCTGATTTTATGTCTTCTTCCAGTGAATGAGTCCTGGGGTGGGCAATATTGACCCAGATAAAAAGAAGACCTGGGCGCTGCATATGGGGAATTGGAAGGCAGCCTGCCAATACCTTCTTTCAGTTTCTCCTGACTCCTTCCCCAGAACCTGGGACCTTCAGGTGGTTTCTCACTCTAACTCCCAAGGCAGTTGTGGGCCTCAGCCCTGCAGCAGGACTCACCTGACCTCCACGGCATCCTCCATCACGGTCATGTCCGTCTTGCACTTGGCTGATGGGTTGATGGCCAGCTCGGCTGGTGGAATCACAAAGCTCTTACTGAGGGGCAGCCACATGCCCTCTCCGAGGGTGTAGGTGAACCTGCAGGAACACCCAGTGCCAGGTAGGTGGTTAGGGCTGGGGAATGACTGCCACCTGCTGGTGGATCTGACATTTGTCGCCAGCTGCCTCCTCACCCCTCGCAGTCCTCTTCAGGAAGGGAGTGGATTACCATTTTTTGGATGTGATGACTAAGTATGAGGGAGGTAGAGAGGCTGACCCCTGGTCACATGGCCAGATAGCTGGAGGACCAATTAAGGTGGCTGCTCACTAGCCTTTTAGAAGAGTGTTTTGCTTTGTTTTGTTTTGTTTTTGAGTCAGGAGCTCATTCTGTCACCCAGGTTGGAGTGCAGTGGTACGATTACAGCCCACTGCAGCCTCCAGCTCCTGGACTCAGGCAATCCTCCTGCCTCAGCCTCCTGTCTACAGGTACGTGCCACCAAACCTGGCTAATTGTTTTGATTTTTTCATAGAGATAGGGTCTCACTATGTTTCCCTGACTGATCTTGAACTGCTGGGCTCAAGCAGTCCTCCCACCTCGGGCTCCCAAAGTGCTGGGATTACAGGTGTGAGCCACCACATCCAGCAGAAGTGGTTTTCACCACATTATAAAAAGCAAGTTCCAGCTTTTTCACACCTGAGACTGGGCTTCCCTTGTCTTGAGTCAGCTATAATTGGAGGCATTTTAATTGAAGAGAGATGCCAGCCTCTCACCGTTTCCATCACACGGCTGCACACCCACAGTGCCAGTGGTGGCATCTCTGTGCCTGAAGGAACCCTAACAAGGGAAAGAAAGAAAGAAAGAAAGAAAGAAAGAAAGAAAGAAAGAAAGAAAGAAAGAAAGAAAGAAAAGCTCCTCTTCTCTGGCTTCTGTGTGATAAGAACAGAAATGACTGAAGCCAGGAGTCTCCAGGGAGAGAAGGGGGTGAGCAAATGACAAAAACCAGTTCAGATTTATTCTCTGCACTCCTACCCACACCCTTAGCTAAAGGCGCTAACCCTTGGGACACAGGGAAATTTTTTTTTTTTAATTCTTATAACAAGGGTTAAAAGGAATAAAAGAATCAATCAGCATTTCAAGGGAGAGCTTAAGAAAACCATGAGAGATTATTTGTTTATTTATTCATTCATTTCATTTCAAAAGCATTCAAATGCTCTGTGTTCATAGTCAAAAATAGTCTGTGGGATAAAAGCCAGTGTGGGTGGGATACTGGGAGGCTGTAGAGTCTGGCATCCTCTCCCTACTTGGTGTGGAAGGGAGGAACAATGGAAGGATGCTTACAATTTAACAGGACTAGGCCCTGGCCCCATTAGCATGCCTGTCACAAAGCACCACTTCAGAATCCTGCTCCCTTCTCTTCCCTAACCCACACACCCCCCTCTTTCTCCCCAAGTTGCCTGAGAGGCTAGGAAACCAGAATGATGACTTGAATCCCTTTATTTTAGAAAGTAGTCCTCTCCAGAAGGCAGGCCATAGAGTGTAACCACTGATGGGAGTTCATGTTTTAGAGGACAGCTAGACCACGTGATTTCCACCCTCTGAAAGAGAGCCTGGACGTTAGAGCAGCTGGGGGTGTGGAGGGCAGAGTGCCAACTTAACACCGGGATTACAGAAGAGAGGCAGAGCCATTGGTAAAAGGGGTGTGAACAGGACTTGAGGAATTTCTCTCCCATTTCCACCCTGATGCTTGGTTCCTACTTTTCTGACCTGTTGGGTGAACCTCTGCATTAAGCGACATTGAACTGTCAGAGATGCTTCTTGTTCTGAAAGGGGCTCTCAAATCTCCCCACCCGTAGGGACATGAGACAGTAAGTCTGCATGGGTCGGGGGAGGTGGTTCGCAAGGGGGATGCACTAGGGAAGGAAATCGCATGACTTTGGGGACAAAAGAAGACCACCAGCTCATTCTGTGAAGCGGTTGGCAAAACTGTAGGCATGGCAGCTCCTTTACACACACACACACACACACACACACACACACACACACACACACACACACACACACCTTCTTCTTGTAAGATTAAGGAACCAATTCAGGATTAATGGTTGCCTCAAGGTGCCTGGAATGTGAGACTTAAGGATGAATGCCGATTGAGGGAAACCACCTCCAAGAATTTGTATAATTTTACTTTGCATTTCAGAATGAATATTCTTGAGATGGGAACATTGCAACAGGCAGGCTAGGGTGGGGGGCACCACTTTTATCAGAAAGAACATCAACAATTTTATGGTACCAAGGAGGAGGGAGATTATTGGACACAGAAATGAGTTTTTGTTTTCAATTTTGGTTTTAACATTACAATTTTTGCATTGATGCAGAGCAACAGATCTGTGACCTGCAGTTTACAATTTATTTAACAGATTTTAGGAAGCTGTTGGCAGCGCCAGTTCATTTCTGACAATTAATTTTACTTTGGAAGAGGAGGCTCCATGCCTGTCCATCTCGCACTTTCTTTTCTTCCTCTGCATATGCTAATATTCCTAAGGGACAAGCAAACACATCCACTCTGACTTGAACTGTTTACAGCACCCTGTGCCTACAGTACAAAGTTCTACTCCCCAAAGAGGCCATCCCCACTTGCCTCTAAGCCTTCTTTTTTTCACCAAACCCTGCATCACACTCTGCACTCCTAAAATGCAATCTGACTGTAGTTCCTAAAGTTATTTTGATTTCCTCACCTCTTTACTTTTGCTCCTTGGAGTCCTTTCTGGATTTTCTTCCCTCTCTCCTTTACCTGACTCCTACTCATGTTAAGACTCAGTTAATGTCTCACTCCTTCCAGAAAGCCCCCCAGGACCTTCACCCTCAACCCAGGTTGAGCAAGGGACTCTCCTCCGTGCACTTACATGAACCCCCTTGCTGCTCTGAGATGTTGAGTTGTCCCTGTCTTCTCGTGTGTCCATCACCACTTATAAGAACACAGTTTCTTGGATGGCAGAGAACAGTTCTTTGTCATTTTTGTATCCACACGACCTAACACAATTTCTGGCCCTTGGAGGGTAATCAATCAATTTTGTTGATGGATCAATAAGGGGATTTCGTTAGGTTCTTGAGTTTGTACTAGCTTCTGGGGGACACAATCTCAGTGTTCATATTTAAAAGTGGAAGCAGTGGTGAAGATTATCCTTCATGTAGAGCCAGCTCTGGGTTAGCCTCTGGGATTAAATGGATTTAAAGATGGATCTGGGTTTGAGATCATGAGGAACTTCCTAAGTGCACAGCAGCTCCTGAGACACTACACTGGACCACGTCAGTATGTAAAGCAGTGTCTCCTAGAGTCAAGGTGAAACCTGTAGGGAAAGCAAAGGCAGGTGTGGGTGAGATTGACCTTGACTGAGGACTCTCAAAGGAGCAGGTACTCTGCACAGCTGCCTCATCTACCTGTACAACAGAGCTTGCCCTCAGGTGGGTCATTTGACCCCATTTCACCAACTTATCAACTAATATGTTAAGATTAGTAACTTCCCCAAGGTCACTGTGTGTAAGTGGAAATACTGGGATTGGTCTGATTCTCAGGTATGGATCACACAGCTTTCCAGCCCAATCTGGCTCAGGCCTATGAAATTGTGAAGTTCTCTTTCATCTGCAAAATCTACTGAGTAACTCCAAAAACCAAATATAGAACAGACTGTCAGAGAAAAGCTGTGTCCTAAAATCTCATCTGTCCCTCATTCATTGCGGATTTGGCAGGAACAGCTTCAAAAAGCCACCCAAGAGAAGTTGGGTGAACATCTGGAATGCTTTCCCAAGTTGGGCCTTCTTTGTGACAGCTGGTGGTGACCAGCACAGTTGATGGCGCTGCGGTGTACTGAGTTCTGGGTATGGCCCTATTGAACTAGAGCTTGAAATTTCTGTTCAGAGGCAAACACTCACCAGGGAGTGCTGGAAAGAACAAACCTGTGCTCTCCACGTGGCTTGGCATGAAATGGTATCGGGGGATGATAAATAACTCTTGACCTGGCATCTTCACTCCTTCCCAGAGAGGGCTATTCCAGGATGAGGTGTTAGTCTCCAGGATATAGGAGGACACAGGACAAGGGAGGAAGGTCTCTGAAGGATCAGTTTGGGCTCCACTAGTCCTTGCCATCACAGTCTAGTACACAGTCTAGTCCCAGCTACAATGAAAAGGACGTCATGGGCACTAGAATAAGTTTGGTGAGATGATTCAGTCAGAAGATTCAGGGTCCTTCTGAATCTAGCTTGGACACTTCCCAGGTTATTTGAGATTGCAGATTACCAAGGTTAGGTTGATGACCAAGGTATTTTCCTAGTCTGGGTTCAAGTCTTCAGGTTAAATATCTAAAACGGTTATCTGTAGATATCAATTGAAGGCCTCCTCTGTTCAAAATTGTATGCTAGATAGTAAATATTTACAATGGTGAAAAAATTACCACTCCTCTCAAAAAGACAGCCACATCATTGGGGGAAACAAATAAGTAGTTTAAAAATAAATATGAAATACATTAATTGACAGAAATATAATGGTATATTATAGAAATGTGGAGGGGAAAGTCATTGTGGATAAGCGCAGTGGATTGGAGAAGCTTTAGTGCAGAGTGTTTCAATACTGGTTGCAGATTGGAATCACCATAGTGCTTTTAAAAAATGTTCATGCCCTGGCCATACCTCCCAGAACTTCTGAATTAATTGGTTTGTGCTAGGTATGACCATTGATCATTTTTAAAGCACACTTGGGATCCTCACAGAGGACCAGGGTTGGTGACCACTTTCTGAATGAGGCTGTAAATTCTTGATGTTAGGAACTATCTTGGCCTACAGCATCTGAAACAGAGCCTTGAACAGCAGGTGTTCAGTAGATGTTGTGTTTAGTTGAGACTTGGTCTGGACCATGGAAACAGGTGGTATTTATATTAAAAGGAGAATGTGCATTCTTGCTAGAGGAAAGGGTATAAACAAATGTACGAAGTGTGGAATAGACAAGTTATTGGTGACAGTGAGTCAACTGGAAAACAGAGTCTACTAAGAGCTTATCTACATCAGAATTTAAATTTTATTCTACAGCCCAGAGAAATGTAGAGTAGCTTGGATTTTATCAGAACACTAAATCATGGATGAGCAGAATAGCAAATAAATAACCAGTGACAGTCACTTGGCCATGCCATTGAACTTTCCAGCGTGGTCATTGCTAAGTGGTTTCTTCAAATACTGGAGTGGGTTTTGATTTAAGTTTATAGTACCTAAAATAAGCAGATCATGACCCATTGATTTCATTTGAGAGACTAACTGTTGTCATATTAGGGGCAAAAGCTAATGATCACTTATCAATGAACCCATTGGCTCCTGAGATAGTTGACTTCATGGGTCAAACTACACAACTGGTTCCCTCTTTAGTGCTTGGGTATCACAGCCAGTCCTTAGTTCGGAAAAAAATCTGTGGTGCTTGTGGGGATAGAAACACAGTTTTGTGCAGGTTCTGCTCTAATAGCAATTTCATTAAGGCCTTTGTTTTGTAAAGTGTTAGCATCTGACTTTTAGGGAACAGGGAACTTATTTACGTTAATCATCCAAATTCCACTAGGCTCTCCATCTGCCTTATCCTTATCATGCTTTGAAGTCCTGGAAGATCAGCAGTTGGAAAAGGGAAGAAAATTCTTGGGCAAATGATAAACCCTTGTTGGAAAATTTTAATGCCTGCTGCAGTCAGAGGAAAATAGTTAACTTCTCCTAACGCACAAATCCTCAAAGGTAGCCTGAAGCCAGTGCCATTAGCATGACCCAGCCTGACCTGGGAGAGACACCCAGGAGAGAAGAGGGCAGGGAAAGGCCCTCTGAGGAAGTAGTTCTACAAATCTGCACTTTAGCTAGGAGCATGCCTTAGGAGAGTACTGCTGAGGCCAAGCCAAGTCCATCCCAAGCTACCAGGAGAAGCAGCAGAAGCTCTGCAGAAGTGTGAGCTCTCAGAAGCAAAAAACAGGGGCAAATACTAATAACCAGGTCAGGCATGGAAGACAGTGATGGTCTAGGGAAGGGGCTTGGAAGGGTGGCAGTGAAGAAGTGGGACTCAGCACTTCTGGGTGCAGTGGAAAGGGAGCAAGTCTTCCATTTGCCCCACGCTGCACACCATTTCTCCAAAAAGGCATGAAGACTGAATCCATCCTTGCCATCACCCACCTGTGCAGGACCATCCGCTTCCTCTCCTGGAGGGCTCATTCCTGGAGGGAGATGCGTTCATGCCCACACTGCCTGGCTAAGCACCACCTCTGGCACTTAGTAGGTACTCAGCAAATGTATGCTAAGTGAAAAATTGATTGACAAAATGAATGTGTCATAGGATCTTCGTTGGGAAGCAAACTGTGTTCCACCTAAGGCCTGGTATGAATTAAGTTTTATGAAAATCTAATAGTTCATGACTGACACCCCAAATCCTCCTCTGCTTGTGGGACTTTCTAATACGCTATTCCCAGGTATGTAGATAGAGAAATATGGGAGGGACCAGAAGCATCCAATTTCATCAGGAAAGTAGTAGATAAAAGAAAATAACGAGGCAGAGTTTAGAGAAGGGGGAGGCAGGGGTGGGAGAGATTCATTTTGAACAACTTAAGGCTCTATGAGGAAGGTGCAAATTAGATGCAAAATGGAGAGGCAGAAACTGACATTAATTGCTTGCTCTGTGCCCGACTCTGTGCCAGGGACTTTCCGTGCATTGTCTCATATATCCCTCACTGCAATCCAGCCAGGCATGTAATATAGCCCCATTTAACAAATGCAGAGACTGGAAGCTCCAAGAACTTAGGTCAGTTACTGAGGTTTGCAGAGCTAACAAGGAAGGAAGGCAGGACCCAAACAGATTATGCCTGACTTCAAAGTCCTCCATGTTGTCGCTGGGCATGATTTGGGGGCAAGCACTTTTGCTACTGGGCAGGCAGAACAAATAAGAGTAATAAGTGTTTCCCCATTTTATATTTTGCCAACAGGAAAGTAAAGTCGGGGGAAGTGAGTTAGGGGACTTGCAGACATACATCAGACATAAATAAGCAAGACCCTGGACAATCACTTACCTGAATATTTTATCAGAGGGCTGCTCTCCCAAAACCAAGTCAAAGCCTCGTTGAAAGATTGTGTAAGGCCAAGGCCTGAAAAGAGAAACATCACCCAGTTAAAGTCAACTCAACAAACACTCAGTGAACTCACACATTGTGCCAGGCAACATGTTGGGTTATAGAGACCCGGCAATGAAGAGGACATGCCCTTGCCCTCAAAAAGTGGGCCAGTGGGGGCTCACACATGACCACAGATCCTGGAACCTGGCCAAACATAGGACCAGTGTAAAAATCACTGAACCACCAGGAAAATGGAATTTAATAGACATGACAATTGGAACTACATATAGAGTAAATTTATATTAAGGTTGATCTCTCATATTTGTAATTCTTGACCCTTCAGATGTGGATTTACAAAAACCTAGCTTTGCCTCACTTTAGAGCAGGGGCAGCATGATTTCTTGGGTATCGGATAGTTCCAGATTCAGGCCTTTTCCTGCCATCTAGCTGATTGTCTGACTTTGGGAGCATTATTTGCTTTGCTGAGTCAATTTTTCTCACTTGTAAAAAATAGGGTTAATAAATTCTAGCTTCCTAACAGACCATTGTGAAACTTAAGCAAACCTCTTAGGCCAAGGACCTAATGCACAGTTCATGCAGTCTTCAACATGTTTCCTTTCGTTATTCAACATGATACAAGAATCCTGGGTCTTCAATAAGTTCCAGATGCCTTCAAACACTTTAGTGTCACTCATTCAAACAGAAACTATTGAAATGGCATTTGCAAATAATTCCTAACTACAAGTTTTTCTAGTGAACATTGAGGTATTGTTGCATGCACTAGAAAGTAATACAACTATTTCCTTTAAATAATGTACAACTTTTCACTAACCCAGTTACCTAAGTCCCAAATTACTTACTCACTCAAGTAGGACTTAGTAAAGCCCAGATCTTGTGCTGAGTACTGAGCTACTGTAGATGGACTTGACCCTAACTCTTATGGAATTTACTGTCTCTTAAGTAACCTAATTATTCATTATTTTATTGTAGACATTCCTCACGTTTACAAGGATGACAAAAATCAAGAGAATAAATCATAATTATTTGGGGTGAAATTTAATATTAGAAGTTAACCCAATGGTTTTCAGTGCAGAGCACATCACTCAAGAGAGGACATTTTTGGTAAACTTATAGCAGTTGTTCTTGAATGACCTAATGATTGGGGAGCACACTGGCCTTTGGAAGGTAGGGATAGGTGATTAGATGGATAGAATAGCACAGTGCTCAGTCCTGCAAGCTTTTGAATGTCATGGAGGTAATTTATTTATGTATTGAAAACATGCCGGAAACTTTTGGCTGGGCGTGGTGGCTCATGCCTATAATCCTAGCACTTTGGGAGGCGAAGGCGAGAGGTTTGACTGAGCTCAGGAGTTCTAGACCAGCCTGAGCAACATGGTGAGACTTCGTCTCTACAATAACTCAAAAAAATTAACCAGGCATGGTGGCACATGCCTGTGGTTCCAACTACTTGGAAGGCTGAGGCAGAAGGATCGCCTCAGTCCAGCAGGTCGATGCTGCAGTGGCTGTGAGCATGCCACTACACTCCAGCCTGGGTGACAGAGTGAGACTCTGGCTCAAAAAAAAAAAAAAAGAAAAGAAAAAGAAAATATGCTTCTAATGACTTGACTTGAGACTAGATGCTAGATACATTTACATATAAGTACAAAGTAACTCGTACACTTTCAACAAGATGAGTTTTCTAGGTACACAACTACGATGTAAATTGTGGCACAATTACACATTGTATAATCACTTTGAATCACCAATAAGGCATGTAGGTACCAGTCTATATTGTTCTTACATACATCATGTATTAGATATTACTTTATATATTATATTACAGTGAATCTACATTATGTGCAAATGTCTGTGAACTTTATTATTTATTCTATTTTAGCACAGCATTAAAATAGTTATTATAATAATTATTATACAAAATATAACTCTTGCATTATATCATTAGAAATTATTTTCTTATTATTTCTCCTTTATTTACTATGAAGGAGCTATATTTATTTGTTGACGTTTTATGTACACAGATTTTATTATTTATGAATTTTATTTAAGGATAATAAAAAGGGTTACAAATATTTGTTATAAAATAAGGTGTTGGGTCTCATAGGGTTTAGAATCATCAACTTAACCCAATCAACTAATCAACTAACTTTCCAAGGGAGTTGGTAGTCGCAAGGGGCAGTCCTTGGGACTATACCAGAGGACAGCTGGGATGGTGTGTTCATCATTTATGCTTATGATTTATAAATACTTTATTCCTGGGAATCAATTTAGAAACACCTCGAGGCAACATGAATTGGCTTCAAAAAGTATCCAAACACTGTACTATGAATAACCCTTGCATCAAATAAAAAGCCTCACCCAGGTGTCTTCCAGTAAGTGAACCCACAGAGCAGGACTTGAATTTGATTCACTTTTGCTCAACAGTAAGTGGTGGCTTATGGGTAGCTAAAAAGATGTATTAATTCAAGGAAAAGGTTAGAAATCATGTGGGAAAAAATGTCCCATATAATCCTACACACCTAGGTAAGGCAATGAAAAGAGAAGAGGCACATGCAATTTTGCCACTATTTTGGGTACAATCACATTTTATTTACAGTTTCGTTATTTTAAATAGCATACGTTTTGCCTTTGAGTCATTTCTAGTACTCAAAACTGATATAATGTGTAATTGGAGTTAATTCTTGGCATGGCTCCTAGGCTGTTTGAAAATATATTTTGAGGAGCCAAATCTTAGGACTGGTATTGAATACAACGTGAACTGTGTAGAATGACACAAATAAACCCGTGCCTAAGGCATAGCTAATGAATCAATGAGCTTGGAACCACTGAGCACACATTCATATGCTGCTATGTAGACCTTGCCCAGATCACAGTTAGAGGCAGCAGGGCACAGTGGTCAGGACATGGGACCTGGAGCCAGCCTGCCTATTTTGAACTCCAGCTTAGCCATCAACCGCTATGTGACCTTGGACAAGTTCCTTAATCATTCTGCATCCCATGTCCTCAACTGTAAAATGAGGCTGACAGAAATAATTGTACCTATCTGTCAAAATTGATAATGAGGAGGAACTAGTTAATATAATTAGGGTGCTCAGAACAGTGTCTGGCATTTAGTGAGTGCCTTAGAAGCATTTATTAAATAAGTTAAACTTACTAAGTACTAATTTACCAGGACAGTGGTTGGCATTTAGTGAGTGCCACAGAAACATTTACTAAATGAGTTAAATTTACTAATTACCTGGATCCAACATAAACACTACAATAGGGAGTGATTCCCAAATATCAATAGAGAAAGAGGTGTCTTGTCCTAAAAGGCAAAGGTGATGCCAACACTAGGCTTTAACTCGGTTGAAAATATCTTGGTACCAGCAGGGGAGACAACAATGTGAGTATGGACACCCCATCCTCCACTCCTACCCAGCAACTGCATCACAGAACAACTACCTATATAGTATTGGCATGAGACACAAAGAGTGAAGGGCAGATCGTAAAATGGCAAGAGAAGTCAGAGATGCAAACTGTATCAGTAAAAGCATAAGAGGAAATTTCATTATTTTCTTCCCACTAATCAGGGATGACCTGTCAGAGAGATGGGAAATCTTATTTGATGTATCTAGTAAATATTTGTGGAGGCCTATTTGTGTGCGAACTCTGATATTAGGCAACAGGAGTTGGGATAAAGAGAATCTTACCCTCAAAGGAATCTACAGTCTTTTGGAAGAAACATACAGGCCTAGACAAATTGATGAGAATGTTAGAAGGGAAGAGGAAAGGGTTTATAGGAGATAAGCTAAGTGGTGGTTGGTCGGTGGAAGGTCGCCTTCCTGGGTGCAGGGAAGGCTGGGAGTATGCAGTGCATGGACTGACAGGGTGGGCAGTTTGGAGCACACAGGTGGAGAGGTCAAAAGGACTCCACAGGATAAGGCAGGATAAAAAAATGAAGAGCTGGACCTAAAAGCGCTGAAAACACTTTGATCTGCCTTACTGGAAGAGGAAAGGCCTCTGCATCAGGGATCTTCTGGCGCAAGTCAAAAAAGGAAATGGACCTGGCCTCACCAAGAAATGCCCACCACTGTGTCCTACAGCCGGGCTTGGATGGAAGTTGCCTCTGGGAAACCTGGAAACACATCTAGAGGCCTCATAACTGTGCCCGCCTCTCTTTGCTCTGCTTCTCACATTACAGGCTTTATTCTCTCAAAACAGCCAAAGCACATGGTGGAGGCTTGGCCTTTAGCAGCTCCGGCTCATGTCTCTACAGGATCCAATCGCAGAGGAGACACCCCCCCTCCTCAAGAGGAAAAAATAACCTGTGAAAGAGCTGCCTGACACATCCTGAGTCAGATGAGCAACCTGGGCCGGTCTCTGGGACTGCAGAGGCATCTAGGCTGATGGTAACTCCTGCTGGTCTTCAGGGCTAGTGTTGGGCTGGGGAGGAACGGGAGGGACTGGCAAGATCTGAACTCCCAGCTCAGCTTCTAACTGCTGGTGGCGGCAAGAGTGTTGCTTTCCTAGAGAGTGGTGGCATTACTGGGCACCTGTGCCAGTATTAATTTTGCAGACAGGACGGTAGGCCATTGAGGAACCTATGGACGGTGTCGGGCCAGATGTGGGGTAGGAGGTTGAACCTTGCCCTCAGAAGGAACCAAAGTCTCTTGCCTCCCTTCCCCATGGGACCCCCAATACCCTGTGGCCTGCATATCTTAGTCAGAATAGGCATTTTTGTTCGTTTGCCTGTTAAAATCTTCATTCTAATAAACCAAGACCCAAAGATTGTCCTCCCACATGGGCAGCTACAGATGGCCTCCGTCCAGGCGCATCTCAGGCCAACACAGGAGTCAGCGGTACCTCCATTCCATGCAGGGACATGACCTATGTGCAGAGGTGCCCACAGGACGGAAGTATAGCAGATGGTGGAGCACGCGTGGAAAAGGTGTGTGCTGAGAACTCTTATTTGCCTTTTCTGTGTTCCTCCTGTGTCACACAGCACCCACAGTCTACTCAGAGTCTTCTCTAAG